TGTGTGTGTGTGTGTGTGTGTGTGTGTGTGTGTGTGTGTGTGTGTGTGTGTGTGTGTGTGTGTGTGTGTAGTGGGGATTAGCTCCAGGGGTGCTCTACCTCTGAACAACATCCCCAGTCCTTTCAGTTTTATTTTTTATTTTATTATTATTATTTTTTAGTTGTTGATGACCTCTATTTTTTATTTATCTGTCTGTGGTGCTGAGAATCGAACTCAGTGCCTTCTGAAACAGCATCTTGCTAAGTTGCCCAGGCTGGCTTTGAACTTGCGATCCTCCTGCTTCGGTCTCCCGAGTGCCTGGGCTCACAGTGTGCACCACCACGCCTGTGACCACGCAAGTGACCACGCCTGTGACCACGCCTGTGACCACGCCTGTGACCCTTTTGGAGACCCCCTCCCCAGGAAGGCACAGGTGTGTGTGACTTCTCCCTGCAGCTGCTCATTGACCAAAGGAGCTCACACAGAGTGGGAATAAAGGTGGCCTGGGAGGCCAGTGCCGATGCTTACAGACTCCGCTACGCACCTGTGTGGCGGCAGATGTGCCGAAACTGGGACGGCCTGTGGAGGGCAGCGTGGCCCCCAAGGTGACCCGTAAGTTGGTGAATCCAGGACATAACATGTTTAAATTGCCAAAAGGAACAAACCAACAGACCTGGCTCCCGGTTTTGAAGGAGGGACTTTTCAGAAACGAAGACAACAAAATGTCTTCAAACAGAGGCTGGGAGAATCTGTGAGGGCAGATGCACCCTCCAAGGAATGTCCCCAGGCTGAAGGAAAGCAGCCACCATGGAAGGGAGTGGCAGAGGGGAGCAAGACCGGCTAAGGTGAATATCGGGTAAGTACACAACAGTGTAAACCATGGAGAGCAAGAATAATATAATAAATACGAAAACGCGTGACGTCTATGGCGCCAGGGCAGGAGGGGAAAATGGGGACTGGAACCTTACCCCAAAGACCCTAGGTCAGGCCCTAGAGCAAGCCCTGGCAGATTTCAAAGTCCAGAATCACAAGGTGTGTTCTCTGACCACCAAGCAAAATAAATTAAACAAGAAATTAACAACAGAAAGATAATTAGAGAATTCCCAAGTGCTTCGAAACTACACAATACACTTACGAATAACCCACGGGACAGAGAAGAAATCACAACAGAATTAGAAAAGACTTCAGACTGAATGATAATAAAAATAATGAAACTCGTGAGAAGCAGCAAAGGAAGGGCACATATTAGAAAATAAGAAGGTTGAAGTCAACCATCGAAGTCTCTCTCAAGGAACTGGGAAAAGGAAAAACAGTTACTAAACCTAAATAAAGAAAGCGGAAGGAAGAATGTAATCAGAGTAGAAATCAATGAGCTGCAGAGTGATACCCAATGGAGAGAATGAGCAGAGGTGGCCCCGGAGTTGGAGAAGACTCACAGTGGATGATCTCCCAAGAACAGTGGGGTGGACAGACAGGAGAGACTCAGATTTCTAATCCCTATGTTGGACACAGTACCTTTTTATTATTATTAATTTATTTTTATGTGGTGCTGAGGATCAAACCCAGGGCCTCACATGTGCTAGGTGAGCGCTCTGCCGCTGACTAGGACCCCAGCCCCTCTAATCCCCATGTTGGAAGTGAAAGGGGCTCACTACAGATCCCAATGACTTCTTTTTTTTTTTAAGAGA